GCTTTGGGGAGAGTCCCACCTTTTTTGGGGGCCGCCACACCATGGTATGCTTTCAGTGCTTACTGAGTTGCCGACTTTGGCCCTGCTAACCCTGTCTCCCTAAAATGGTATAAACTGAACTTTCGCCCGGGCGACCCACCTGCTCAAGGCTTCTTGCGGAGTGGTTCTGGCGTCGAGGGTCCTCCAATTTGGCTCAGAATAACTTCTTGTCAAACTATTTCAGGCGCGGTTTGGATGTTTTCCGTCCACGGTCACATCATTGGTTCAGGCCGCGGCCCCACCCTCTCAGGGACGGCAACCTAGAGCTGTGACCCTCGGTTGTGGCTAAAGGGCGCGGGTGTCTGGGTGGGACCACGGGGTGGGCTCCCACCCGGGCCAACGGGGAGGCTCGCCGTGGCGCGGCACGGTTGTCCGGGTGGCCGCTCTGCAGCCCCGCGGGAAAGGTTCTCACGTGGAACAAGGCCTTACTTGTGTCTTGCAGTGGCGTTTTTTCTGATAGGACTATCACCTGGGTTTCCGCTTCCTCAGTTCAATTTCAGGCCATTTTTCCGCCAGTCGGCCTCCTCAGGCCCGAGGTGATATGCTTCCCTTCTTTGGAAGGAAGAGCCTGTCCTGTGGAAACGCGCATATCAAACTCCTGGGCTCAAGCAATCCTCCTGCCTCAGCCTCCCGAGTAGCTGGGACTACAGGCATGCGCCACCATGCCTGGCTAATTTTTTCTATATATATATCAGTTGGCCAATTCATTACTTTCTATTTATAGTAGAGACGGGGTCTCGCTCTTGCTCAGGCTGTTTTCGAACTCCTGATCTCGAGCAACCCTCCCGCCTTGGCCTCCCAGAGTGCAGGGATTACAGGCGTGAGCCACCAGTGCCCAGCCCCCAAATCTTTGCATTCTTCACGTGACTTTGCGCCCAAATGAAGTCTGGGTATTGTTGATGTGACGGTAGGATTAATAGCACGTTAATGTCCCAGACAGCCTTCTGCAGAGCATGACGGTTTGGTTGGCTGCAAAACGTGCATCTGTCATGCTTGTGCGGTGGGATCTCTTTTTCTTTTCCACGCCGTAGTGTGGTAAGGAACATGTGTCTATACTGGTGCATGTGCAAGTATATTGGATTCAGCCATGCAACGTTACCAGTGTTTAATGATTTGCGGCCTGTAAAAATGGCTATTTAATAGGGTTCATATGGTGCTTATGGAAGTGGGGAAATAAAGATGCCAGTCTCTCACGATGCTAATAGCCACAGCTAAAACACAGAAGGCAGAGCCTATTTACTGCCGCAGTGGCATGTCTCGTCAGTAGCTAGAAACGTAGGAAAAATGAGAGAGGGGCATGATTCTTTCTCTAAGCACCGTGATTTGGAAACAGACAAGCAGGGGTCTCTCCCTTTTCTGCCTCTTGCAGGCATTGCCCACACGCAGTTCCTTGAGAACAAGTCCAACCTGTGCCGGCGCAGAGCTGAACGCCTTTAGCCGGGGGGAAGGAGGTCTGGCTCGAGGAGGGAGGCCAGGAGGGTTTGGAGGGCTTGGTTGACCGGCTGTGACATCGAGGGAGTCTTCTCACGGCGCAGCTGCTGCCCAGCCCCATGTCAAGGTCGAAGCCCCGAGCGCTTGGTAACGGAGCCGGGAAATGCTTTCCGAGCTCCGTGGGACAGAGTGCTCAAACCCGGGTCTGCAGAGTGTCCTCGGTAGCTGAACAAGCACGGCCCTCAGGGACATCCTTCCAGAGGGCTGGGGTGTTAACGATGAAAGGAGAAAAGGCTTCTCCAACTCCCTCATTCAAATTTTGAATTTTAATTTTGCTTTTAAAAAAACAATTTTGGGGCTGGGGGCGGTGGCTCACGCCTGTCATCCCGACACTCTGGAAGCCCAAGGCGGTAGGATCGCTCAAGGTCAGGAGTTCAAAACCAGCCCCAGCAAAAGTGAGACCCCACCTCTGCTAAAAATAGAAAGAAATTAATTGGCCAACTAAAAATATATAGAAAAAATCAGCTGGGCATGGTGGTGCGTGCCTGTAGTCCCAGTTACTTGGGAGGCTAAGGCAGGAGGATCGCTTGAGCCCAGGAGTCTGAGGCTGCTGTGAGCTAGGCTGACGCCACAGCACTCTAGCCCAGGCAACAGAGTGAGACACTGTCTCACAAAAAAAAAAAGTTTTTGGAAAAGTGTTGGGCAGAATCTTCTTGGAGTGTTCATGTGCTTGAGACCCTGCCCCTTCCTTCCCGGCCTCTCATCACTTCTCATTTTACATCAACTCACGTCATCATCCGAGCAGCGAGAAAGTCCCCTTGTGAGGAGGACAGCAAGGGGAGGTAGCAGGACGTGCCATGGACGTTCACCTCAGGGGCCTCGCTGTGACAGCCACCGTGGGGCCGGCCGGGTCAGCCTCGGCTGACGGGGACGTGAAGCTCGGGTCAGCCCAGGAGACTCACGGAACAGGACTCTGCAAAGAAGGGGTGTTGCTCTTGAAAGCTTCACTCGGAAGGTCCCTGGGAAAGGTCTGGAGCCAGCATTAGGCACTAGAGAGTCAGAGATACCAATTCCACGCAGAAGTTTGTCGTGAGTTATCTTATAAAAGCAAAACTGATGACCAGAAGGGGAAAAGCCATGCACTCTCATTCCCCTTTTTATCGCATTTCTCATCTCCAGATAAAATAGTACGTCCCTACTCGAGCGTGATCCTCCTGTGCTGCCCACAAGGGGAAGAAGGGCGGCGCGGGCGGTTCCGTCCTGTAGGTGGCTCCTGGTAAGCAGGTGTCCGCCTCTCGCCGCTGCCCCCAAGAGCAAAGATCTGTGACTCTGCACCCCAGCGTCCCCGGGGCAGGCCCTGCCGGGAGCCCCATCCCAGGCCACTCCGTTCCTTCTTTCCTGTTTAACGCCCGAGACCCTGAGATGCAGAAACGGTGGAGCTTGCCGTCTGCCTCAGGCCTTCGCACCGGCACCTGCTCCATGCCAGGCCGCCCCCAGGCACCGTGGGAGCGACTGTCATCGTGCCCCAGCTGTGTGAGCTTTTTAATAGTGTCCTCCTTGTCACTGCTCTCTGCTTGGGCAGCCACAGTGAGACTGTTCCTGTGACAAGAGACACCGTCACCTCCAGAGGGCCATATCTCCGGTCCTGGGATTTCTTACCAGGGACCCTTCACGGGTGCGGAGTTAAAGCATCGGGTGGAGCCTGAAACTGTGTAGCGTGCGACTGTCCTGTGATCCAAAGGGGACGGCTCACGAGTTAGGCACCAATGCTCTTCTCGCTGCAAAAACCCCCTCTCTGTCCCCTGCTGCCATGTGTCTGCCTGCCTGTTGGGAAGCTCGTCCCCATGCCGGGGGACATTCCCCAAGGCAGAGTCCTTCCATCTGTGGGGGCAGGCAGGGCTGCAGCAGGACTGCCCGCAACAGCCACCGGGACCCCGGGTCCCACAGAGGGGCTCCTGCCTGCGTCCCGCAGGGCCGTGCAAGGGAGGGTGGGGCCCCGAACTGTCCCCCAGGTCTACACCGCGGGCTTGCATATCCCGCCGTGGGGACACACGTGTACACATACACACAGACACTCCATGCAATGCCCACTGCCCGTGACAGTGCGGTCCCAAACCCTGAAAGGAAAAGGACATTTCCTAGAACGGTGGTGCCACCCTGTCACCCCATCCTTGGTTCCGCCTGAGCGCGGGGCAGGGCGTTTCCCGAGGAGGCCATCTAGGTTAGTGACGCCAGCCGGGGGCGGTGATTGGAGGTAGTGACCCGAGGGCAGCAGGGCAGGGCCGGGTCGGGTGCAGCCGAATCGCTTCAAGGGCCGCGTGGCGGGAGTGTGGCACGGGTCCTGTGCTGGGACTCGTGCCTGCCTGGCCCCCCTTCCACCTGAGTCTCCAGAGCAGACACCTGCTGGTCCCTCTGGCCACCCGCACGGCTCTCCAAGCACCTGCGCAGTGAGTGTCTGCCCACTCCTGTGTGTGCAGAGACCCGAGGGGGTGGGGCGTCCCTGTGGCACCTCTGTCTGTGGCCAGGTGGGCGGCAGCCCCACCCTGATGCTCACTCCTTCCCTGTGGCCGAGTGGCCTTGCAGCAGTGACCAGCCCGGGGCCACGTGGAGTTTGCATCCAGCTAGAACGCCCCCAAAGTGCACTTACAACGGCCGGTCCTTCTGGCTTTTTGATGCCTGGGAGGGAGGAACTCAAATCACGCTGCAAGGCAGCCACCATCAGAGCTTAATTCGAGTGTGATCTTTATCGTGCAAACAGATTTCTCATCTATTGGAAATGATTTTAGGAGAATCAAGTACTTTTTTTTATTATTCATTTTCCTGGAAGATTAAAGGATGCTCCAGGGTTGTTTTGTTTCATTTTGTTTTTTTTTATTAATTTTGTTCAAAAATTACAAACATAATTTTTAACTCAGCCTCTCTCAGTTACCTTTTCCTTTTGATTTTCCTCTATGTTGCACAGCAGAAAGTGTTGTCAAATATCCACATGAGTATATTTAAGAGCCAGTTAGAAACTGACTCCATCCGTAAACTTAAGCTACTCACAGCTAAAATTTGGGCGAAGAAAGTTCGAATAAGAGAAACCAGTTGACGCTGAACATCGGATGGCGCCTGTCCTGGTGGTGGGCAGTCACCCTCAGCCTGTCCCCACGGCAGGGACTCGCAGAGCGGTGCTTAAAGTAAGCCACATGCTCTCTGCCTTAAGGTTTCGGAATATTGTTTGTGTTTCTAAACAGCAGGTCTTCAGAAAGGGGTGTGGTACTATCTCTGATGTAAAACAGAAAGTCGGTGGTACCCAAAACAAATGATCCTTCTTCAGACACATGATGATGTTCGCTGTGAGCTGCAGTTCAGTTAGACGAAGCTTTTTCTGGCAGCCTGGATGCCGGAGGACATGCTCAGTGTTCCTGCAGTGTGTTTATTTTATTGCAGTGTTTCTAAACTTCCTTGTGTGTGTCCTTGTCCAATCACATAAGGAAACTGGGTTGGCGGCCTCGGCAGTTCCAGCTGTTCTGTTTTCTCTCTCCAAGGTGTTCCTGGTACGGAAGGTCAAGGGGTCGGACGCCGGGCAGCTCTACGCCATGAAGGTCCTCAAGAAAGCCACCCTGAAAGGTGAGGGTTTCCAGGGGACTGGCTGCGCCCGGGGCATGCAACTGCAGTTTCTAGCTCGGTTGTTATTTGAGGGAAACACACGTCCTATTTAGTGTTCTCGATTTCCGAAGGTTTCTCTAAATGAGCAAACCATGCACATTCCTCTCTGATTGATAATAAACAGTATAAACATTTCCCTGGATATTTAAAACATCGCTGCGAAGTTTCCACAGCTCTCCGAGAAGAGCCATGTTGCATAAATACCACCCTGCCGCATATGTTCTGCTGCGGAGAACCATTTGGGAAACCGGGCGGAGGGGAGGGGGAGCAGGTTGCTGTGACGGGGCGTGACAGGGCGTGCCAGGATAAACCAGCCGATGTAGCAGCAGTCACGCTGGACTGCTCAGCTTGAAGTCAGGTATGAGTCGCAATCGTGTTGTTTCCTTGTAGTCCCGGTGACTGGGCCTAGACCCGCAGTCCGGCACCGGATGTCTGCACAGCCCCTTTGCACCCTCGTCCTGCGAGTGAAGCCTGAGCAGGAAGCACAGCGTCAAAGTCCGGATGTTATCCGAAATCCCTATTCCATGCCTACAGTCGTTTAGTCGATCGATAGGTATTAGCTGAGCACCTGCCGTCTCTGTTCTGGCCACCTCCTGCTCACTCCTCCCTCAGTGGTGCGCACAAGATCCTGCGTGCACAGTGCCGGGCAGGTGCCGTGACAGCAGTTTATTAGCTACACCCACTGCCCCCGGGTAGAGGGGAGCGCATGCCACGCAGGGCTGACTCACGGCGTTGCGGGAACCAGAGGGTGAAGTGGCCGCTGGTTCCTGCAGAAGGTGTGACTGGCTTATTCGAGTATTTTGGGGGCTGGTGGGAACGGAGGCCTGTCGGGTTGGAGAGCGTCGGAAGTAGGGCCGGTCAGGCTCACAGCGGGGCCAGCAGGGTGGGGCCTTTCCTGCTGAGCCGGGCACACCTGGCAGGTGCAGGGGCACACCTGGCAGGTGCAGGGGCTCACCTGGCAGGTGCAGGGGCTCACCTGGCAGGTGCAGGGGCATACCTGGCAGGTGCAGGGGCTCACCTGGCAGGTGCAGGGGCTCACCTGGCAGGTGCAGGGGCACACCTGGCAGGTGCAGGGGCTCTTGGTTGGTCCCCTGGGGCCCCGTGAGGCTCAGAGATGCAGGGCGGCACCCGAACCTTTAGGTCTCATAACACAGGGCCCTCGGCAACTGCCCGCAGGGACGCCGTCAAAGAATGTCACTCTCTGCCTTCAGGTCGCTTGCTGTCCAGCTGGGAGAGGGAGGCATACGTTCTGAGCCACATGTAACCACAGGTATACAGACTTTAGGCAGCTCAGGTGCACGCAGGAGGAAAGGAGCTCTTCCAGGTGAGTTAGTCAGGGAGCAGGAAGGGGAGACACGAGGCTTGGCTGACTATTTCTACTGAAGAGAGAAATCAGGTTGACATTGTCAGAGCAATCAGTGATAAGAAAATGTAAAAATTGACCACTTTAGCCAGACCAGATCAGAACCATCCGTGTGTGTTGGGGGTGGTAGGAGGAAGGTTGTTATGAGTACAGACCTCGGCCCCGCTCCTGGCCTATGGACTCGTAATCTCCTAGGGGCAGAAACCAGAATTTGGCTTTTTGAACAAGTTTCCCCAGTAATTCTTACATACACAAAGGCTCAGGTGGGGCACTCTAGTTGATTGTAGGCACCCGAGTTTTTAGATCAGTGTTATCAATAGTGATGTATTGTTAAGCTGTGCCTTTTAGGGTGAATGTCATTTACTGCGGGGAAAAATAATATTTCTAAAACTGTCAGTTGGACATGATTCCACGATATTCCAAGATTCTCATAAAAATATCATTTTACAGAATTATTCTTTGTTGATGAGAAGATGCATGGAAAACAAATCAGGTTTTGACCTTCTGTCCTCAACTTTGGGTGACGTGATCTCTCCCCCGATGGTCGTCCCATAGAAGTAGGAAATTGCACGAGGCATCCGTTAGCTCAGGAGCGTCTGAGGCCTAAAATTTGACCTGCTCTTGCGGTTCCTCAGGAGGTTAAGCCCAGATTATAGAAAGACCCGCCTCGGTGCTTGGCCAAGAGAAAGGAAAACACGCGTCTCCACGGAAACCCGTACAGCAAGGTTCAGGGCAGCTGTTTGGCTGTTTACAACAGCCAAAGACCGGAAGGAAGTCCAGTGTCCACCAACTGGCAAGTGGAAAAATAAAATGTGGCGAGTCCGTACGATGGAACGCTATTCCGCAAGGAACAGAAGGGAAGCGTTGGCCCATGGCGTGACATGGATTGACCTCGGAGACCGGGTGCTCAGTAGGAGGGCCAGGCACGGGGGTCCGTGTGCCGTTTGATTCCACGCGTGCGAACGTCCAGAATCAGCAGGTCCGCGGATGGAAAGGAGATTCATGGTTTTCTAGGGCTGGAGGGCCAGAGAGATGGGAAGTGACTGTTACTGGGTCCGGGGCTTCTTTTTGAGGTGATGAAAATGCTCTAAAACTGGCTGTGGTGATGGCTGCACAACTCTGTGAATATTCTAGAAACCACTGAACTATACACTTTAAATGGGTGAGTTATGTGAAATGTGAATTATAGCTCAATAAAGCCATTATTTTTAAAATGAACAGCTGCTCAGTGACTGGGCTAAAACCCACCCTTTCGTCCTCAAAGCAGTGAGGTTTACGGTGTCAAACACAGACGGGCGTCTTCCTGTGATTGAGACAGAGGAGGACGCAGGAAGCTGAGCGGGGTCCTCCCGACCAGACTGCCCGCGGGGGCCACACCCCTTCCTTCCTGGTCCCACCGGGGGATCCACATTCACCTTTCCAGGGCGTGAGGAGGGACCAGGAATAGCCCCTTTCCTCCTTAAATCGTCAGTGTTCCTTGTTTCCCCTCAAATATGCGCTTGCCCTCCCCTGAACGGAGAGGGAGGGAGGTGGAGGGAAGATGGAGTGCACGTGGGATCCAGGCTGTGCACCCCACTGGAGGCACGAGAGGAGAGGCAGGAGCTGCAGAGCTGTCCTCTGCCTGTGTAACCCGTCCCTAAGCCCTGGGCTCCCTCAGAGTGGACTGTCACCCTTAGCTCGTGTGCAAAGCGCGCCGTCCCCTGACTTCACTCTCCTCGGGTACGGGTCTGCCCGCTTGTTTATGGTCCACCCCGAGGCGCCCTCAAGAAGCCGCGGCTGACCCGCGGTTACCCAGGGCAGGCAGGGCATGAAACTGTACAGAATGGCCGCGACGCCGTTAGGCACACGAGGACCTCCAGCAGGACACGCAGGATGCGTGTATGTGCGTGCACATGTCAGGCGCCGCGCTGGTGGCAGTAGTGCCGGGATGAAGGCAGCGTCCACGCCTGAGTTACAGGGTTACGGGTAGCTTTTGTGTTTTTCCTCTATACTCTGCATTTCAAGTTCTCAACAGAAATAACACACTTTACTTTTCAGAATATAAAATTATTCCTGAAATATTCTGGAAAATATGCTTGAGTGTGTGAAATCGTTTTTATATTGTGAAAATACACCGTATTCACATAGAATGGAAAAATTTTCCATTTCCTTGTGCTCCTTAAAAGTCAGCATTAAAAGCAAACATTATTTTACATCTTGTACTGTTTCAGCTTTCCCAGAATGGCCTGTCACTAAAGAATAGATATTTTTTCCAGAAATGCAAATTGGAATTTATCTTCTGAAGAGAACAGAGAAAAGCTTTGCAAGGTGGCACTTTGCACGTGGTCACTGGTTCCCGTGGCAATACAGCCCAGTTACGTGGAGGGGAGGCCGGGTGTCCCTGCACCACCAGCCAGCTCTGCCCTGGTAAGGACACCTGTCGGCTCCGAGCCTTAGTTCTTTCTCACCTGCAAAAGAGGAGAGCTGGCTTTACATTTGTTTTCACTCCAACACCTCTGCGCGCCATTAGCCGGAGTAGCTCAAATACCCTGTAACTCATTCTCTGCCTTCCTAATGCCCGGGTTTGCAAGCTAATCCATAATCCTGAAGACCGAGCTGGAGAGAAAAAGAGCCACGGTAGCGACCGCAGGGACATTCTCCACTCGCCAACAGAGAAGCCCCGAAAGCACAGACGGCTGTCCAAGGGAAAGGGAGAGGCATGGGAATAGCAAAATTATTTTGAAAAGGAAAAAAAATGGAAAGAAGGCAGAAGACCTGCGGAAATAGTTTTAAAACTCCCAGCCAGGTGCAGTGGCTCACACCTGTCATCGTAGCACTCTGGGAGGCCGAGGTGGGAGGATCGCGCTTGAGCTAAGGAGTTTGAGACCAGCCTGAGCAAGAGCGAGACCCCGTCTCTACTATAAATAGAAAGAAATTGGCCAAACAACTAAAAATAGAAAAAATTATCCGGGCATAGTGGCGCATGCCTGTAGTCCCAGCTACTGGGGAGGCTGAGGCAGGAGGATCGCTTGAGCCCCGGAGTTTGAGGTTGCTGTGAGCGAGGCTGACGCCACGGCACTCTAGCCCGGGCGACAGAGAGAGACTGTTGTCTCAAAAAAGAAAAAAGAAAAAGAAAAAAAACCTCCAGCCTGCTTCCCCAAAACACGTGATTGTCACGTGTGCAGAGTGAAGGCTGCCGTGGGTGGGCCCCGTGTGACCTGGCACGAGGCTCCGCCTTGCTGACGGCTCCTCTTGATCCTCGAGTCACTCTGCAGCACCGGCGCCGCCCCCTCGCTTCCCTGCGGAGGTGCCGGATCATCTCTCAGGGTGTCACCTGCTCAGGCAGCCGAGAGGCCCCGTGCAGGCTGAGCTCGCTGGGAAGCCGCCCCCGCCCCCGCCCCACTCCCACCCCTGCTCCCCTCCTCCGCTCACCTCGCCACGCAGGGGCGCAGCTTGTCTCCTGGTACTTAGGGACACTTTGAAAATGTTCCGCTGCTTTAAATTGACAAGGTTTCCATATCCGTAACTCCAGGTGGAGTTATCACAGGTAAAAATGCTGTGTCACGCGTCCCAAATGTGATGGATTCCAAAGGGCGACGTTCCCGCTTTGTTTGGTAAG